TATATAGGAAATATATATAGGATATATAGGAAGTTAATGGTTGGAAAAGCTTTTACCTCTTTGACATTATGAAGCTGTCAGATATATAAAAACAGCAGATGGCTCCTGTTTCAACCGCAGTAGTTTAATATAACCTTTAGAGACAGATTCAGTAGTGTGTGTTTTTGTGCCTGTTTTATTCATTTGTTAATGGCATCTTACCCTTGAAAAACTAGTGCATGTGCACTTGTGGTTCTGGTGTCCTGACTGGCACAACAGAGATCTTGTCTCTTATGCAAGAGAGAGACTGTATTTTTGTAATACCTGTCACAAAACCCATAGTAGAGTCATGCATAAAGTTATTATTATAATTTTTTTTCGGGTTCTCAGTAGGAGTTCTGCTGTACAGCTGCTGCTCTGAACCCAGCAGAAGTCAACAGCTGCTCAGTGCCTCTACCTTAACATGCCTTTCAACATCATGCCTCTAACACACACACACACACACACAAACACAAACAGCTGTTATCTACTCATCACCGGCTGATTTTGTTTAGCTGTATATGTCATGCGAATGACTGCACCAAATGTTTTTACCACTGTCTTGGTAACGGTTGTCATGGTGCCATGGTCCACAGATCGCTGTTAATCTGGGTAATTGTTCGCCTCTTTTAGGCGGTTAGATGGGGATCCTTCTATATATATATATATACAGCATATATATATACATTTTTCGTTATTATAATAATTCTAAAAAGTAAAAAATATATATATTTATTCTTATGACAGCAGAATTATTTAGCCGCATTTTAGTGGAAAATAGTGCAGATCATTGTTATATGAGAGACTGCATCTGTCACAAAAATATAAAAACCAATTGTGATTTTTCTGCACTTTTGCTTTAGTCAACTAAAAAGTATATCCACAGTCAAAGTTTAAACATCCTAGAAATAGTTACATTTAAACCATGTGTTAAGACACCAGCCAACTGGCAAGTATTTTATTTACTCCCCAAAGCCAGATTTAACTGGGATTTGGCGCTCTGTAAGTGTTAATTTTGGACTCTGGTTTTGGCCTTGTACCCAGTGACTCGACTCTAGGCATTTGGTTTGCTAAAATTGTTACATTTACAATAATTGAAATTGTTATATTTACAAGAATCTATCTAAAAGTGGACTTTGCTGTGCATATTGATTGGGTTTTGGCACTTTTCACCTTAGTATTGGGTGATATGTTCCAGTAATGGCCACAAAACACAGTATTAACTTTCTTATTTCTCGTTGGTAAGAAATGTAATGATTTCAATGATTTTGACAATGGTTTACATTAAAAGTGGCCTGTTGCTTTATAAGAGAAATCATGTCAGTTGCAGATATTTATTTACAGTGCTACCGCTCATTTCAATCAGTCTCTGACAACAGTTATTTTCTGCACTGTAATTATTTTAAGATTCACTGTTTAATACAAGCTCTGTTTATGGATTTAGTAATTAAAATAATTAATTAATTAAAATAATTGCTGCTGTCTAAATGAGACTGATTTGATAATTCTATTTAATTTTAGTAATATGTTGTAAAATAATTTGAATAATGTAAATGTTATTTTATTTAAATATATTTTGCATTAGGTGTTTTACCAGTACTGTCTAATTTCAGCTTTTTAATTAAAATTGTCTGATTTTCAGTGTTGTCATTATTTATGACAAACTAAATCTTCGACTTGCTTGCTGTTACAGACCACATCTGTAAATGTACATTACAAATTACTGATTTACGGGTGGATCTTGACCCTTTTAATAGGACATGGAGACATGTGGAAATAATTAGGAGCAGTTGCTAATGTGCCATCTTAATCGTAACATCTGTGATTCAACCGCAAAATATAATGCAGTCCATTCGGTATTCCTTGAATCCATATACCTCCCCAGTATCTACATACAGTGGGTACGGAAAGTATTCAGACCCCCTTAAATTTTTCACTCTTTGTTATATTGCAGCCATTTGCTAAAATCATTTAAGTTTAAATTTTTTTTCCTCATTAATGTACACACAGCACCCCATATTGACAGAAAAACACAGAATTGTTGACATTTTTGCAGATTTATTAAAAAAGAAAAACTGAAATATCACATGGTCCTAAGTATTCAGACCCTTTGCTGTGACACTCATATATTTAACTCAGGTGCTGTCCATTTCTTCTGAGCATCCTTGAGATGGTTCTACACCTTAATTTGAGTCCAGCTGTGTTTGATTATACTGATTGGACCTCAATACTTTCCTGTGTGTTTACACTGAGTTCTCTCTGTTGGCTTTGGCTGTTTGGATTGAGTGTTTGCGGTGTATGTGCAATGATCACTGCACATTTCCAGCATTGTGTAACACCTCAGACATCTCCGGACCTCTATGTTCTGGAGTTTTAGGGTGTTTATGGAACCCAGGTTCCATAAACTTTTTTGGATCAAAATACAGAAATTGTTGACATTGCAAATTAATGTAAGACAAACAGTAGCTGCTAAACTCAAATGGATGCATCACTAAAATCAGCCAAGACATAAAGTAAAGCTCACATCTAACACTATGCAGTTTATCTGGGATGTTTATTAGGTGTCTGTTATGTCTTTCTCACACACACACATACGCACAGCACAGTACCTGCAGGTCTTCAGTCCAGTGCTTGACTCTGAGTCTGTGAGTCAGTCAGTGGATGCAGTTACTATGGTGACAGCATCAGTATTTACTGGTTAGGGTGCAGAACGGAATAGTGATACAGTAATAGGTGGTTAAGGAGTGAATGAATGAGCACTGTTCAGGGAATGAGACAGATGGAATACAAAGAGAGGAAAGGTCAGCCTAAAATAAACACATACATACATCATCAGCCTTCAGAACCAGAAAAGGAAACGCATGCAAGTTTATGAGGACTTTCCTTGGCACGCGGCCAGAGGGGAAAAAATGGATTCGGGGATAACAGAAAGATGATTATTTGTAAATTGTAAGGAGAGCCCCGCATAGTGTCAATTCTTCTTTTGACCAAAAGAGGGTGTGTTATACTTTTGGATACAGCCATTATGATCAAGAGAAGGAATAAACCAGCTGTCTTTACATTGGCATATGATTAAATAACATAATATGATAACTTGCAAGCGGAGAGTTGATACCATCACTATGCTTCTCCTTCTCAAAATAGCATCTGTTTTATGGGTCGAACACATGTCTTTTTTTTTTTT